GGACAGTATAATGGAAACCTAGAAAAGGAAGATTTGATAACAAGAGAGAAGTGGAGATTCATCCAAACTGTTGAAAGTGTAAGGAGTTAGAAAAAAAGAAAACCAACCCACAACCATGATTTGTCGTGATGACTTCCTAGAGAAGAGATTCAGTTATGAGTGGATGGAAGGAAACAACCATCACAGCTCACTAATGCGCATCTAATGCTATTAGGTTAAGTACTACACATGCAATTGCTCAGGGATGAAAATTATTAATCGTGCACATGATGCTCACTGTATGCCTCGGGTATTCTAGTCCTGCTTAGAAAGTGGAATAATTAGCTGAATTAGCTGATAACTACACTATTAATTATGCCAAGATTTGCTTTGAGAAGGGTTCAAAGGCCATATGGGTAGAATGGTATAGGGGTATCTGTGTGTTCCTTTCATGTCGTGCTCTGAGCAGTGCAAATGAAATGTCAGGTCAGCCACCACAGGCTCCATAGACTGAGGTTCTGTCACACCCCTTCCGTGAGAAGGAAAACAGAAGTGCTGATGTGGTAAGCCTACACAAGATCAGGGGCCACCTGTTGCAATGCATGCACATGTTGGCCTAGTAGAGGTGAAAGGTGTACTTGAGTGCAGTTCTTGATGCATTTTTAAACTGGGTCTTTCAGGACAAATATTCTTTTCCCTCATCTCTATCATCCTTGGTCATGCAATACAAATTCTGCATTCCTTGTTCCCATTGACACCAACAAGATCATCTCACATGCATAATAAGAAGAGACGCTGAGCAAACTCATAACTTTTGACATCTGGATTTTCCACAGAGCGGATCCTGACAGACTCTTTGTAGAACATCTAACTTTTATCTTGCCAGGGACTGAGACAGGGCAGGAAGAACCCCAACACCACCTTCCTGGGGTCTGAAAGTTGTTTGCTGGTGCTGTCTGGTAGAGCCTTCTGCAATGATACAATTCTCCCTTTGGAACCAGCGGTCCTGATTGTTTCTGGAACGCCTCAAATGGGACTGGTGTGACTGGGGAGCAGAAGTTTGTGTAATGCTTGTTAGTTGGCACCTGCAGAAGCACACTCTTAGGTAGTTAGAAGTGAAAGCGGATCTGAGGCGATAGTCTGGCTTTGCCTCCTTCCCTTCGCAGCCCAAGGGGGCTCAGCGCGTGCCGTTTCATCTTGGAAAGTTTCCCTCCCCTACCAATCAAGAGCTTCATTCACTCCAAATGAGTAAAAATCTGCCTGGAATTACTTAAGGAGGTGAAAGATGAACATATTAACAGGCTATAGATAACAAGAAAGTCCTTTAAAAATGAATGTGGTGACTGCGAAATGCTGCCAAATCAATTTGTGCAAAATAACGGAAGACAAGGATGAGCTGTGGCTGACAGAGAGCAATTAAGTTTTGTGATTTTGCCTTGAATTATTAATTTCAAGAAGGGTTGCCTCTCTCTTAAATCTACATCTTCGCCCTCCGAATGTCAGCCAGAAAGCACTCCGTGGGTGAGCCTGTCTTGACGTGCTGTGCAGCCATCTCTCGTGGCTTCTTTGGTTTCTTTTCTCGTGTGCTTAGCTCTTGCTCTGAGCCAAGATGCCTTTCTCTTCCTTTGCACACTCACTGCAAATTGCTCATACAAAGAAGTTCTAGTGAAATAAGGGCAAACATGTACCAGGTTGAAAGCATTTACATCATATGCCATGGGCTGGTCTCTTTTACAAACCATCCCTGTACTGCCATGATGTGTGTGTGTGTGTGTGTGTGTGTGTGTGTGTGTGTGTGTGTGTGTGTGTGTGTGTGTACATGCACACCCGTGTGCATTTATGCATATGTGCTAAGCAAAAGGCAACTTCTAAGTGTGGGAACCTGAACTAGGGGATGTGTGTTTCCCTCCAGGTACAGGTAAAGCGCCTGGTCAGCCCATTGGCTGCACTCATAATGCTGCTGGCATCTTTGATCTCAGGGTTAAGTGTTGGATGAGAGATTTTGAATCAAGAAGGATTTCTTTGTTCAGAGATTATCCACCCTGGGAACCCAGAAATACATATGCATCTGAAGAGGTTCAGGAGCAGGCGCCATCAGCAAGCCTCAGGGTCAGCAGTAGGTGAGTGGGAAGAGCACAGATGGCCTGAGTGGCTCAGAGGGGCTTGGCTTGGTGTCACTGTCTCTCGGTGCTGTTGTCCCTTAGGATAACATGATGGCCCTATGGAACTGTTTTTTAGCAACTGAATGGTTGTCACTTTGGTTGTTTGAGATTTTAGCCTTCTTGGGAGAAACCCTTATCACCTCTCCACATGTACTTCCTGGCGTGTTAAATTCAACTTAGTTATTCTATGAGGTGGTGTGGTTTAGTGGAAAGTGCTTTGGGCTCAGGAAGATTGAGGTTTTAAATCCCGTTTCGGTCACCTGTTGGCTGTTTGGTTTGAACAGTGTCATAACGTCTTCGATCCTGTTTCCTGTTTCCCCAGGAGAAACTGGGCTAATGCTGCTCTGTGGGTTTGTGGTGAGGTTGATTCGTGGGGATCGTGGAGTCCCCAGGACAACAGCGTACATGTGGTGGGGTGGCTGCCATCGTGCTGCCAGCAGACAGATATAGATAGCACCAAGATGCAGGAGGGCAGTTTCCAGTTTGCAGCTAGTCCCAGAAACAATATGAAAGCTTTCTTTAAGAATCCATCCTTCAGAAGTGCTTCCCTCCTGCCTGCCCTTTTCTTTGTCCCTCTTTCTTCAGTTTAGGTCAGGGAAAATGTCATTCATTCATTTATTCATTTGTATGACCAATAAAAATCTCTGGTGCTACTAAACACTAGAAACATCCATAGGTGCTGGGAGATATATATATATATATATATATATATATATATATATATATATATAGCAGTAGTCAGAATACTTCTATTACTAATACTTCTATTGTAATGAAGAGATACATACAGATGCTATACGACAATTAATGCCCAAGTGGAAAGGTAAGTTAGGGTAAAATAATATGCCAGATGATGATGCAAGCCTATTAGGTATTAACAGTAAATATCTCATTTTTGGCATCTCCTGTGCACAGACGGAGCAAGGGGTAGGTGAACTCCCTGTTTATGAAGATCATGAGTGTTCTCCTTTAAGTGAGGAGAACAAAGGGCATAAAGAAGCTGTGCTGTGGATCTAACCTAAGAGGTGGACCTGATTTAAATAAGACAAAGAGGAGGAGAGAGGCAGGGATGTGATAGGGAGAGGACAAGAAGTAAGAGGGAGAGATGGGCATGTGAGTGATGGCAGACAGAGGAAGCCCAGAGTTTCTCCTTGGATGGAGTTCTGTGCTTCCTCATAAAGCCTTGGGGAAAATGTGCTCGCGGATGCTCCTGCAGTTAGTGTTTGGCTTATATGGACCCAGGACTTATGAATCTGACCTCTGGGTGAGGAAAAACCTGGCTCCAGAAGCCAATATTTCCATGCTCTTTGTTTGAAATAATCCAAACAACAATAATCAATACGAACAAATGTGAAAGTCCATTTCACTTTCCTCTAAATTTTGTTCTCCAAAAATGACTTGTATTAGAACTGAACTGTGTAGCCTGTCCGTTTACCTGTGCATCCTGTTTACAAATAAACTGTGGATTTTTTTTTTGTCCTTTTAAAGGAGAGATCTGATACCAAACCCCTACATCGTCCTGATATATACACACAAAATAACGACTAGAATATTCTTCTACCAATGCTGTATCCTTAAACCACAATTCTGCACAAAAACCTCCCTCCTGCCTTCAGCATCAGGTTCTAACTTTTCTCCACAGGCTTAGCACTTGCCTGCTGTTCTCTGAAAAGAAATTATTTCTTCAGTGGGTATGGACAGGCAAGATTATGTCATTGCCTCAACCCATCCTTCAGGACCTATCACCTGAAATGGAGTGTGGATAAGGACATAGAAATTAAATAATTCACCTTTTGATGTACCTTGAAAGGGAGAGGAGCTGAGTGATATGTTGCCATGGAAACCAGGTCCTATTTACCAGGAGCCTGCGATCCTTTGGCCTTTGGGGCTGTGGTTCTCAGCCTTGGCTGAGCCTTGGAATCTCTGGGCTATCTAAATAGTGACTCCTGGGCCCCACCTGTAATCACTAGGATTTCATTACTGTGTAAGGCAGCCTGTGCGGCTGAAGGTAGAAAGGTACTGTTGTAGGACTGCTCTCCCTGTTCTGATAAATTAGTCATGATCAGGAGCATCAAGACTCATCATAAATGAATTCAGGACGTTGCTTTATTGTAATACTGATAGAGAATTCTGCTGGAGAAGGAGCCTACTCCTATGGCCATCTTTTCAAAAACAATCCCTCATCCAACCCCATTTCTTTCCTTCTCCTATTCAACCCATTTCCTTGTGGGGAAAAGCAACATGTGTAGAAGTCTAGGGACCTTGCTGGTCCCTGTTCTGGGAATACTGCCAACCTCACAGAGCACCTGTGTGGATGCCAGCCTTCAAGCAGTCTGGGGGTCATACCCCCACTTCTCCAACTTCCAGGCAGTTGCCAACCTTTGCCTTTCCTCCTTGGATTGCATTCAACAGGCAGATTTACGAGGTAGGGAATGGATGAGGGGTGGCTGGAGTCCAGACTTACTGTAATCACAGTGAGGAATGAGCAAAGTATGCCCAAGGGAGCATCCAGCACTTCCTGAACTTATTACTGGTGATATCGTTAATGGTGCTGACTTAGGGACCTTATGTGCTTTTCTGCCTTCTTCTTCACTCAGCTTGTCCAGAATCTATGGCTAATGATAGGTTTAAGCAGCCAGGGCTGAGAGTGCCAATCTTCCCTTTGTTCATCCTGTGCATTGATCAGTAGTCACATTTGCAGCTTTCTTCCTGTGTGTGTGGGTTGTGAGTCCTCAGGTTGAGAAGTGCTGAGGCAGGAGATAAAGGGGGAGTCCCAGTTGGGGGTTGGCAGAAGCACAGATTCTGTCATTTGCTTTGTTTTTCATTTAATAGAAATGCAATCAGGTATATATATATTTTTTTACTTCTTTGGAATAAGACAGCCCCCTTGGCCATTTTTTCCAGGGAAAACTTTCCTGATCTCCAGGGCTGATGTGCAATTCCCTTAGATAGTCTGGTAGTCATCCCTGCAGCAGATACAAGCTAGTTTTATTCCATATTGTTCCCACTGATTTACCTATCCCTATGCCCATTACACATCCATTCTGAAGGCAGACCATTTTCAGTAGCTTGCATAGTGCTTGACATGCTGCAATGAAAACCTGCACATGCACGCACGCAAGGAAGTGGAGTACTTGTCAACAGCCACAATCCTCCTAACCAAACTATATGCACTGAACTCATGAAATCCTTTCATTTTGAAATGCATGACCTTGGGCTTGACAAGTCCCCTTGCTAATCCTTGTCTCCTTCATTTCTGGAATAAAGCTGGAGATAGAATGTTGCTGTGTGATAATACATGATTGTGTGCACCCAGTGTCAGCATTGCGCTGCCCATGGACTGCCCGTGGGCCGACACTCAACGTTAGTTACCATGCCATCAGCACTGATGGCTCCATCATGAGCTGTGTGATATATTAATTTTAGCATCATCTGCTAATAGGTTACCATCATGAGCTGTGTGATATATTAATTTTAGCATCATCTGCTAATAGGTTAATCAATCAACCAGGATACATGGCCAAAGTAACTATACTCTATTTGAGCTTGATATCAACTCTGAGTTTAAAACAATGTGAGCAGGTGTTTTTTTTATAGAGCTGGTGTTGATATACTATTAGCATGTTCCGGATGTGACCAATTGAGATGAGGGGTGTCATCTCTGGACGAGGGAATCTGTTGAGTGGTAAATTGTAGTCAAGACAACTTGGACTGCACTTTGAAGAACTCCTTTGATAAGAGGGGGCAGCAGTGAATGAGTTGACTTCAAAATGTTCATGGAAAAGGAAATTCTGTAAAAAGTGAAGCATGTGCAAAAATGTGCAGTTTTTCTAAAGTGCACATTCTCCATGAACTTTTTGAGTACTCCTCACAAGCACGGGCTTCAGAAATGTTGGCAACAACAACAAAAAGTTCGCGAACTTCTTGAAGACTCTTCCTTACAGGAATGATCTGCAGCCCACTGTGCGGTTACCAATTCACAGTGAATTTGCACACTTTTGTAGGAGCCGAGATCTGTGAGTTAACTCCAAGATCGTCTCTCCTATACATTATGGGATCAAAATTTAAAATCTGCAAAGGAGAGGGCTTCAACTGCATTCCATTGTAGGAAAACCAAGTAGTAGGTGTGTCTTTCCATCCCTCAATCAGTTTGCAGTGACATTTGGACCGCTTTGCTTTCCTTTCTCTTCTTTTATGCTAAATTTCCAAAGTATAATGTGCTATATAGATAGCTAGATAGAGATCTTTCAATCGAGAACCAATTTCCAACAGCAATACCACCTGTGAACAGCAGCCTTTTGATGAACAGATCAAGTTCTGGAGACTGTATTAAGAAGTGAACACTAACATACTTTCATTGAGAAGTCAGGGCTTTCCCATGTCCTACCTACTCTGCGGTGAAATGAAGGTCTTCCAAGTGAGGCAGTGATGAACACTGCGGATGTGGGCAAGTCATCTTTCATTGCTGTGTTATTTTGCTTAGAGCTCCAACCGCAACATTATGTCTTAAAACTTGTCAAATTGTGCACAGTACACTGACTTCCGAGGAGAATAATGGCTTCTCCAAAAAATATTTAAAAAATCAGACATTTCTGGTGGAAGGAGGCATTATACCTCAAAACCCCTGCAGATAAATGATAATTAAGAATGACATTTACTCAACAGAGTGGGCAGGAAACAACATTGTATATCAGCTATGTGTTTAATGGTTGCAGTTTCATGCCTCTAAACACAACTAGTAAAAGGCCAGGCCAACAGCCTTTAGGAGGTTAGTATAGATTTTATCTTGGGAAGGCAACTCTAAAGATGTATCTTTCTGTTTCCTGAGAACTTTTTTTTTGCAAATAAGAACAAAATAGTTTCCTAGTTGTGGGAAAATATTACAGAAACAGCTGTCTTCCCTTTGGGAGATATAGAACAAAATCAACAGGAGTTGCACATTGATTGTACACATGGAGTGTGTTCCCTGCAGCACAGAATTTTTTGAGACCCAAGAAGGCTGCTGCTGCCTCATCTCATGTTACAGAGAAGGGTTTGTCTGTGCTTATAGAACAGAGTTGTGCGGGGAGGTAGGCTGGGAGTTATCCAGGGAGGGACACTGAAGGAGGGACTTACAAGCTCAGAGCTCCTTACTGACCTCACCACTACTAATCTTGGCCTTGCTCTGAAACCCTGCAACTGACTGGTCATTTCATGGACGAGGTATCAGCAGGTGTAGTGATTTCTCCAAGATCTCACAGCCCATTAATGGCAGATCCAATGCCAAGAAGGGGAAACTGCTGATTGTAAAGATAACCAAAATAAATGATGACATTTCCTCTATGCAACATCTGGATCATGGGGGAGGCATGGAGAATCATCAGAACTCTATCATAAGATTATTGGTTATCAGGCTTCTTTATGGATTGGAAGACATTTTGACAGTATTGGAAAACCCCTTCTGGTGACTGATCCGTTATAGGATTGAGTGCCCCATGGAGTACACAGACCTCCTGGGATGGAAGGAAGGGATATGCATTGCAACCTATATGGGTTTGCTGGCCCCAGGCTGCATTGTCCCCATGAATAATCTCTGATCAGAGAATAGTAATTAAGACGTGGCAATGCCCACTTAGTAAATTAGCTAAATTGGCAAAACTCAATTTAAACAGCAATTTTATCTCCAGTGATAAAATTATAACAGCACCCTTCACTTAATGAGCCAGACACTTAATAATTCAAACATCCTTAGAGAAAAAAAAATCAAACCACACCTCTCCATCACAAGTGGGTTTCCCACAGCTCTGCTGCTGCTGCTCTTCCACAGGTACTCCAAGGCTCTGTGGGATCGGCATGATCTCTGGTGAACAGAGGAAGAGGTGAGATGTCCTTTCTAACAAGCTTTGTACACAGCCATGTCCACTTGTTTACCAACTGCAGCTGCTATCATGCTACAGTGAAAGGAAGAGCTGTTGTGAGTGCAGGAACCTTATGGTCCTCACAACCTATGTATTTATGGTCTGGCTCTTTAAGAGTCATGGATGTGGCAAAGAGTGCTGCACCTGAGATTTGGATGGCACCCTGGATCCATCACCCCCTGACTGTGTGGTCTTGAATGGATACTTCCCACTTCCCTGACCTGTGGTTTCCTTAAATGTGCAATGGAGATCAGCTAGAGTCTGTCTGCTGACAAGGTGAAAATTCTCGGAGTGGAGCCATGTTTATCTGTTCATGGCAAGACAGAGCTGATAATACTGATAACAATAATGATGGACAGAATGTGTGGTTGTATACTTAGCATGGACCTATCCTGACCTCCTTATATGCATCCAATCATGTAATACCCACAGCAACCCAATGAGATAGGTATTATAATTTTCTATTTTTGCAATTAGAGAGAAGAGTCTTTATCATTCCCTATCCCTTTTTTAAAAAACTCTTACTTATTCACCTTCGTTCTGTAATAATTCTGCCCGGTAGCATCTCTTCTACTGGATGGAAACTGTCCAAGGGCGACATTCTGATGTGCCTTAGTACACCCTGCAGGCGTTGGAGCAGTGACAGCTACCCCACTTGGTCACCAATCTCAATGAGATCGAATGTTCCTTCTCTCTCGCAGATAGTGAGTCTCGCTGTCTCCATTCTGCCAGCTGTTTCTCACTTCTCTGCTTTCATATCTTCTCCTGCCCTTGATGGTATAATGGGGAAAGAGCAGACCATGGACTTAACCTTTACGTGTAGCAAGAGTAAACACTCAGCAGATGAAAATCTTTAGACTCTGGGAGCTGTGAAGTTTTACAACAGATACAGCCATTCACTCTAACCTCAGATGTGGCCATTCTAGCTAACAGCCACCTGATTCCCTGGCTCTGGGGGTTATGCCTACAGGGCAAAGTGCTCCCAGCACCTCCATAGCTTCTAGTTGAGAAATATTGACAGTGGACCCCAGACAGCTACCAACTCTAAAAATATCTGTTAGTTTCTCTCTTTCATGAAAATAATTGTATTCTTTATGTTCTTCCATATCCAAATATTTGTTTGCTTATAAAATTAGTACGATGTTTAAAGTTCTTATCAGGAGCTCATCTCTCATTAACATTGCTGAAGGGCGTGAAATAAGAGGGAGTTTCTCCCTTTCGTTTTCACCTCCTGTCTATTTTGCCTAGAGTAAGCACTTGGCTCATCCTAACTCACATAGCCCTCACCACAATCCTGTAGGGTAGACACCGTCTTTTCGCAATTTAAAGATAGGAAAGTGGAGACTCTGAGCATCTAAATGATTGCTTGAGATTACCTTGCTAAGAAATGTCAGAATGATCCTTTATTCTTTACTTTCAAACTCAAACACTCCACTTTTTCTTAAGCATTTTCTATTTTTAAAAAATTTTTGTTTGGCATGCAGAGACAGAGAAATGGAGAACTCCCATCAACTACTTCACTCTGCAAATGCCTGCAACAGCTAAAGCTTGGCTAGAGTAAAGCCAAAAGTTCCTCTGGGTCTTTTGTATGAATGTCAGGGGCCCAGTTGCTTGAGCCATCATCCCTGTTTCCTAGGGTCTGCATTGGTATTGGCAGAAAACTGGAGCTAAGAGTTCGAGCTAGAAATTCAAACCAGGTATTCCCATGGGGAACAGAAGCAGCTGAAATCCTAGGCCAAGCTCCCACCCCAGAGTTTTCTAACAATGTTTTTCAGAGTCCAAGGGATGAATATGGGGGAGGAGGAGTATTAGGTGGGTCCCAGAATCCCCAGTCCTTCACTAGACCAGCACCTATACCGCTGTTTTCCTTATCAGTATCTTAAGTGCTAGAAACAGAACTGTGGGGTTAGGGGCGGAAGGCAGAGAAGGGGACAGCATGGTGGCATATCAGGCTAGTCCTTTGCCTCTTGTGCTTACAACCCAAACAGGCACTGATTCTTATCCCGACTGTTCCAACTTCCAGTTCCAATCTAGCTCTCTACTTATTACCTGGGAAAGTAGTGAATGGCTCAAGTCCTTGGGTATCTGCACCCGTGTGGGAGACTTGGAAGAAGCTCTTGGCTTCAGATCGGCTCAGCTCTGACCATTGTGGCCATTTGGGTACTGAACCATTGGATGGAGGATCTGTCTGTTCTCACCTTCTTCTGTGTAACTCTGCCTTTCAAATAAAAAATTTAGAAAAATTAAAAGCAGTGAAAATGACGTAGGGAACATAGTAACACTTCACAGAGGTACCACTTTGTGTCACACTCTTAATATTTCTCAACTTGGGCCTGCTTTGCCTCCCAATGGATATTTAGCAAAGCCTGAGTACATATTTGGGTATCACATCTTGGGGGTTGCATCTGACACCTAGTTGCGACAAGCAGCAATTGGTGCTTCACAAGGCAACTTCCAGACCTGACAGAGCACCTAAAGTGCCAGCATTGTGAAACCCTGCTTTCAGTGAACTCTTGGGACCTTCAGAATTGAACTCCAACAGTGAGCCTGCTGGGTGGGGATGGTTTGGTTGGCAGGTTCATCAAGCCAGACACTCTTGGGTCTTTAGTCTCTCAAATGGAAGAGGGATGATAAGGAACCTTTGTTGGGGAAAGGGCAGAGGAGGCAGAGGGTTATGGAGGCCAAGGGGAGCAAGAAGGGCAATGGGCCTGTGGGGCGAGAACAAGTGGCATGCAAAAGGCAAGATGTGTGGTGAAGAAAAAGAGAAGAATCTAGATATAGCAGAACCTTGGCCATCTCCATGATTCTGGACTTTATATTAAGTAGCTATAAAAACCACAGAAAGGAATTCAGCAGGACATGGCCTGACTCCGGGTGGGAAAGATCATGTTGATTGTTGCAGGAAAAGCAATCTGGATGGGGCACGCTTGGCCACAGGAAAGCAGTGGGCATTTGCACAGCCCAGTATTTCTCTGGGGGAAGGGACGGGGAGGGGGTGTCTTTGGGGGAAGCTGCGGATTTCACTTTCGGCTGAACAGCAGGGTCTCTGTGCAGCGGGAGTCTGTCACCTGTAAACATCAGATTCTCCTTCCTCTTCTCCAATTTAAAAATATGCACATTCAAAAATAAAGCTCCCCCATATCATTTAGGCTTCACATCTGTTCTTGCAGTTGCAAAATCACAATTCCAACCACTGCCCGTGAGCGTGATGAGCCGAGACCGTTCAACACGAGAGGATGCGGGGCTGTCTCTAATTTCTTTCTTCTTTATTGACCTTTTCTGAGGTGTCAGAAAGCAGATTCTCTCATTAAGATCTTGACACCTGAGAAAGTCTGTAGTATATCTTATTTATGGCAGAGTGGGTATGGGTGATGGAGAAGGGAGTTTAAAAAAAAAATCAGCTGTCAAGGCAAGAAAAATATCTTCCCGACTCTATTCTTTCTCCCCAGTGACTTTTGGTTACTCTGAATCATCAAGTCATCCATGCCTCTCCCATGGTCTAATTAACTTAGAGGCAGACTGAGTAGGATGGGGAGAGAGCTGAAAACATCCCGAAACATGGGTCTGTGGAGCTGGCACAATGCATTTCTGATTAGCAACAGTTCATGCACTCGTCCATGAACCACACAGATGTTCAAGTGGGATGTCTTGAGGTATTGGGAGATTATCATAAATTTAAACTCGTTTGCAAGCATCTATTTCCATATTTTACAGAAAACTGTAATTTTTCTATCCTAGCTCCCCTCTGGACTAAGGAGGAGGAGTTTTTCACCAAGATGGCACCATCAGTAGATTTTTCTAGGATGCAGGTTCGAGGCATGTGAGAGTTGGTCTTAACTCCTGTGAACAACACAGATACAGAGGATGTAATCTCTGCCCCTCGCCCTCCTCCAGAGAGACCCCATGCCTTTGGGAAGCAGGAACGCCACTCCTGTACCTTCTAGAAGGTTCACTGTCAGGCACTCTCTCTCTGTCGCTTTCCAGGTTCTGGCATGAACACCTGAATTATTGGCCACAACTCAGGCTCGCTATCAGCATGCAGCATAGGTTTGCTTGCCCAGCTGAAATGATACCCATCCCTTCTCAGTATCGCTAGTATTCAGTGAGGCCAGCAGGAAAATATGGGGTAGATTGCGGGCATAGAGCAGACTTGGTTGTTGATACACAAGGCCCACAAAGAGAAGTGAGCAGAGGGCTGTGAAGAGTGCCGGCTGGCTGTATGTCTCGGGCACATGCCCTGCCATGTCTCTTTTTATGCCACAGAGGGTAACACTGAATCTTCTCTCCCCCATCCCCCAGACAGTGAATGTCCCTACTTCCTGATATATCTTGGTGAACTCAGGTTTACGCTTGGGAGAATGCTTCCGGAATGTGAATGGATGCTTTGGCTTCAAAATACTCATTGGTGCTATCCCTGATTCCTTTTGTAGAGCAAGCGGAAGCTGTCTGCAGGTTTGGGACTGCCCTAACATTCAGCCCCTAAGGCCCAGGGCAGTGCCAGGGCCCCCAACGCATGGCCCAAAGGCCACATCCAACACAAGGCTGTGACTTATTAGTATCTGTTTTGCCAGCAAAGGGGTTGGTCATTAGCACTTAGCCGCTAGGAGCTTTCAGAGACAGGTTTTTGGCTTTCAGGAAAGCGGGCAGCTCTACATTTCTGCAGTATGCTGAGTAGCACTGGCTCCCATGAGACCTGGCATGACCTTCAGTCACCCTCAGCTCCCAGTGTAGCTGTTCTATATTCATTTGCCTGCCCCAGCCTCCCTATGCACCCCTCCAAGCCCAGCCCCAGGTGTTGAAGTCCATAGACTGCAGGCTGTGGTATTAGAGCTGTGGTTCCTGGGGAACAGCTCCCACAGCTTCAGCTGGGAGCTTTTGAAATGCACATTACCAGGCCCACACAGACTTCCTATTTGGGGACATTTGAGATCAGAGCTCAGTGACTGAGCTCTGCCTGTGAACCTGAGATTCCTTGTATTTGAGAAACTTTTCCCTGGGATAAGGGACTTACTTGAATTGGGAAGCAAATAGAACTGGCTCTAGTGCCATCTCTGCCACTTCATTCTTTGCAAACATTTAAAAAAGTCACTTTCCTTATGGAGGCCCCATTTACCTTCTCTATGAAGTGAGAAGGTCAGCCTAATTGGTTTCAAGGGGCCTTCTGGAAACCTTAGCACAGTGTGATTCTATAATTTCTCAAGTCTGTGAACTCATAATTAGCATTTAGAAAGCCCTTACCGCATGCCTGCGCCCAGCTCAGCACTCTGCTGGGGTGGTGTCCTTTTATCATAACCAGGACAGTGGTTCCTTTTGAGGACCCATTAGACAGCTGGGCAAAGTAAGGTGCAGAGAAGGAAGATGACACACCAGAAGCCCCAGCTTGCAAGGCTGCCCAGCCCTCTGCCCTCCCCCGCCCCGCCATTGCTTTCTGCCACTTGCCCTAGTGCAGACGCGGTGCTTACGGTGTGGTGCGGTCCAGGACACCTCAAAACAAAACTGCAGATCCTCTAAGGTGCAGCAAGGATTGTCAAAATCACTATGTGGCAGGAGTGGCCTCGCCTTGCTTGTGAAAAGGAACAGGTGCACAGTTGTGTCCTGAGACATTGAAGGTGCAGAGTCCACAGAAGATAGGGAGGCAGGAGGGGAGAGCAGCCAGCCTTGTGTACTGAGTACCAGGGAGGCTTGTCACTTGCCAGTCTTTAACAGCATACCACTTCATCCCAGCTCCATCCCTTATTGAACAATGTGACCTTGGCAGGATATTTTCCCACTCTTAACCTTAGTTTTCCAACCTGTGAAATGGGGACAGTGACACCTGCTTAGTAACATCTAGGAAAATCCCACGAGCGAGGAGGTTTATGAATAATTTCACGGTTACAAAAAGCAGCTACAAATG